ACCTTTATTATCTCAAAGATCTAAGTTTGTCCAGCAAGAACAAAATCTCTCACTCATTTATATCTGAATCCTTGATGACCAACAGAGAAAAAATTATGCTTTATCATTGTCGGTTGGGACATCCCTCTTTTGTAGTGATCAAAATTACGTTTCCCTCTCTGATTACCAAGTTAGATGTTGAGAGTCTTCATTGTGAGGTGTGTGAACTTGCTAAGCACAAGCGTGTATCTTTTCCAATAAGTAATAGAATTAATAATTTCCCTTTTTATCTTGTTCATACTGATGTATGGGGACCTTCTAATGTTCCAAATGTGTCTGGTGCTCGATGGTTTGTCACCTTTATAGATGACTGTACAAGGGTCACTTGGGTTTTCCTACTTAAACAAAAATCAGAAGTCAGTTCTGTCTTCCTAAACTTCCACTCCTTGATAAAAAATCAGTTTGGTCTTAATATTAAGAGACTTAGGTCCAAAGATTACTTCAATCATGTCCTTAATTCTTTTTGTCAAAAAGAAGGTATAATTCATGAGTCCGCTTGTGTTAAAACACCACAGCAGAATGGAGTCGCAGAGAGGAAAAATGGACATCTATTAAATCAGACTCGGAAATTGTTGTTCCAAAAAAGCGTCCCAAAAAATTTATGGGGGGAAGCTGTCCTTACAGCAACCTACCTTATCAATAGACTACCCTCTAGAGTCTTCCTATCCAAACCTGTCCACTACAAATAATCTTAAACCAAGAGTTTTTGGGTGCATCTCATATGTCCATATTCATAGTACAGACAGGGGGGAACTTGATCCTAGAGCCTTAAAGTGTGTCTTTGTTGGTTACTCACCCACTCAGAAAGGGTATAAATGCTACCACCCCCCATCCAAAAAATTCTGTGTCTAGGGATGTTACCTTCAATGAACAAGAGGACTATTTTCATCAACCTTATCTTCAGGGGGAGAGTTTCAGGGAAGATAATGAAGATAAGAAAAGTAGTAATTGTGGTTTTCCCATTCTTCCAGACTTATATTTGAACCTAAACGAGATCAAATTGAAAGTAGTAATTCTGGTTTTCCCATTCTTCCCGACTTGATATTTGAACCTAAACGAGATCAAATTGAAGCTGTAACAAGTGAAATAAGTCAAGGAATTGGTCAAGAAAAGGAAGTTGGTCAAGAAAGTGAAATTAATTGTGAAGCTGATCAAGAAGATGTTGAAGCTGAAAAATTTGGTAAGAAGTTGGTGTACTCAAGGAAGACTAAGGCCATTCCAGGATCAAGCCATGTTCAAGAATCCAACTCGACTCCACAAAAAGAGGTAACAATTTTTTCTCCAGCTGTGCACGTTGAAATTGAAACCCAAAATGATCTTGACCTCCCAATTGCCATTAGGAAAGGAACAAGAAAATGCACCAAACAACCATTCTACCCTCTCTCAAATTACCTGTCATTTAAAAATTTCTCTCCTACCCATAAAACCTTCCTAGTAAACCTAAACACTGTACTTCTACCTAATACCCTATCTGAGGCATTTTCTGACAGAAAATGGAGGCAAGTCATGGATGTAGAGATGGAGGCATTGGAGAAGAACAATACTTGGGAGTTAGTCACCTTACCAATAGGAAAGAGGCCAGTTGGATGTAAGTGGGTCTATATAGTGAAATACAAGACTGATGGATTAATTGAGAGATATAAGGCAAGACTAGTTGCCAAAGGGTTCACCCAAATTTATGAAGTTGATTATTTGGAGACCTTTACTTCGGTTGCCAAAATGAACATAGTTAGGGTGATATTGTCCCTTGCTGCCAATTATGGTTGGAACTTGGAACAATTTGATGTTAAGAATGCTTTCCTACATGGAGACCTTGAAGAAGAAATTTATATGGAGATACCTTTGAGATATGGTAGAAATGTTGTTGCCAACACTGTTTGGAAGTTGAAAAAGACATCATATGGGCTAAAATAGTCCCCCCGTGCATGGTTTGGTAGGTTTACTAAAGTTATGACAGGTCTGGGTTACAAACAAAGCCAAGGGGATCATACTTTGTTCTTCAAACATTCCAAGTTAGGGGGAGTAATATTATTGATGTATGTGGATGACATAATATTAACTAGAGATAATAAAGAAGAGCAGCAATTGTTGAGTCAATGCTTAGGCAAGGAATTTGAGATCAAGACCTTGGGAAAACTAAAATATTTTATGGGAATTGAAGTTGCCCACTCCAAGAAGGGGATATTTATATCCCAACAGAAATACATCACTGATTTGCTCAAGGAAACTGGCAAGTTAGCTTGTAAACCTGCTAGTACTCCATTAGAACCAAACCTAAAGCTTGGAAATGCAAAAGAAGATGTTGCTGTTGAAAAAGATATGTACCAGCTATTAGTGGGCAGACTTATATATTTGTCGCATACCAGGCCAGATATTGCCTATGCAGTGAATTTAATTAGCCAATTTATGCATAACCCAAAGGAGACCCATTTACAAGCAGTCCACAAAATTTTACAGTATCTTAAATGAACTCCATGAAGAGGGATTCTATTCAAAAGGAATGGTAATGTGAAGCTTGAAGCCTATACTGATGTTGATTATGCAGGGTCAATTGTGGATAGGAGGTCAACTACAGGATATTGCACCTTTCTTGGAGGAAATCTTGTGACTTAGAGAAGTTAAAAGCAGGGTGTAGTGGCTCGGTCCAGTGCTGAAGCAGAATTCCGAGCCATGTCACAAGGTATATGTGAGTTGTTATGGCTTAAAATCATCTTAAAAGACTTTAGGATAAAATGGGAAGAACCTATGAAGCTCTATTGTGATAATAAGTCAGCAATTAACATAGCCCACAACCCAGTGCAACATGATAGAACAAAACATATTGAAGTAGACAAACACTTCATCAAAGAAAAGCTTGATAGTGGCTTGATATGCACTCCATATGTGTCCTCTCAAGACCAAATTGCAGACATTCTTACCAAGGGACTGAGCTGCCACAATTTTGAGAAGATTGTATCCAAGCTGGGAATAGAAAACACCTGTTCACCAGCTTGAGGTGGAGTGTGAGAAATCAAATAGTATTTTAGGAAAGAATAAATTAGGAAATTTGTAATCTGTACAGATTTGAACAATTAGGAACAATCTCATAAATCAAGGGATCCTAAAATAAAATAGAGTTCTTATATTTCTTAAAATAGCTTAGGTCTCTTGTATATATCTTGTATGATCTCTTTGTATTAAAATAATAAAATAAGATTTCATTTAATCTAATTTTCCAGATTACACATAATCAACTCTCACAAAAAGAGAACACATTTCACAAGGTGAAAGATTTACAAATAAAGGTTTCTCTTAAATCTAAGAAATGAAAACTATGTTTTCACAGTGTTTTTTCATGTAGATTACTTTTCTCTTCACATTCTCTCTTTTCTGCATGGTTGTGTCTTTATCTATAATCCTCATGCATAAATACACTGTGACACATTAGGTTAGAGCTGACTCTAGCTAGTACAACTTTTGACATGTCTTTTAGGCTTTTCGCATTGTATGACAACTTTTAACTTAAATACCGCGTATGCTCAGAGTTTACCAAGAACGTATCTTAATCATTTTGTTTTAATTTGCTCTGCTGTAATGTAAATATACTCCCATGAGGGAGGTTGACTTGTGCGTGATAAGGGGCTTTGTGTTTTTGCTTAATTGAAACATTGTGCAACAACTTAGAGTATTTATGAGTTGAACTGACAATAATCCAATGGAGTGAATAAACATTGGTTGAATCTAACGATGATAGGATGGGTTGTTGAATGTATGAGATGATACATTGTATGACGCTTCTATGGACATTAGTCGAGTATGATGACCATAAGGTGGCATTAGATGATAGGTAATGAGTCGAGTATGATAGCCATAGCTGTTTTACTGGGTTCATCAGATGATATGTAGCTTGATTACGCTTTATTCTGGTGACATGTTATTTAGTTGACTTGGGCTCCACCAGATGAAGCTGATGACATGTAGCTTGCTGATGGATGATATGTAGCTTGATTACGCTTTATTCTGGTGACATGTTATTTAGTTGACTTGGGCTCCACCAGATGAAGCTGATGACATGTAGCTTGCTGATGGATGATATGTTGATCGACTTGAACTTCATCATATGAATCTGATGATTCATTGGTTTGCTAGTTGGGTCTATGACTATAAGATAACTTGTTGATTAGCTGATAACCATCAGATGACATGTTATTGACAACATAAAATAACTAAAGTGTGATTAGTGTATTCATTCTCCACACACATGTTAAATACCCAAAACTTAATAATAGTTATTATTATTATTATTATTATTATCAAAACTTAGTCTTTAGCCAATGTGAGACTTGAGATAGTTTGATTATCCTAGTGTAACACAGAAGGGGGGAGTGGGGTGCTAAAACCCCTCCAAGACCAACCATCAACCCCTTAACCAGTCCATCAGCTCTGGATATAGTGGCTAAGAATATAAAACATAATGGTGAAGAGGATCCATCTTTAATGTGCCGTTATTCTCTCTCTAACTATTGTGTACCACAAGAAACCCAATCCAAGGGAAATTGAAGATAAATTGCTGAACCCAACGTGCCTTAATTCTCAAGCTTTCCCCTTAGCAGCAGTGTGAACTTCATATATTTGTGTACTTCTGCTTACTTTACAGGGTTATAGAAGGTAATAGTTCTTAACTGATAAGATGTCACAAAAGCAGAGGTAGACAAATGAGAGGTTCATATCAGTAGCTGGGCACTAGAATCCACCGACTCTGGTGTACAAAAAAACATTCAAAATGAAACGTAGACCTTTAGAAGGCCAACATTATTGGATTTATTTATGAGATGAATATAATCCATTTAATTTATGGAGTATTCTGAACACACTGTGTCTTATAATTGGTCAGGTTTTATTTTTGAATTGTTGGCAGTGGTTTATTATATTTAAAAATTCAGCGACTATAGCTACAAAACTACTGCTTTATATGATTTCAGGAAGACTTTTATGCTGTTGTCGATTGGGCATACAAGATTGATCCTTTACGCTGTATATCAATGCATGGAATAACAGAACGCTATCTCTCTGGTCAGAAAGCTGATGCTGCAGGATTTGTAAGAGATTTGCTTCGTGACCTGGAGTCTCGGATATCTATGCAGTTCAACCGTGTAGGTGACTAGCACCATGAAGAAATTATTTTTCCAATGCATTTGGATGACCTGATTCATTTAATTGGAAATCTTTTTTGCAGTTTGTTGATGAAGCTTGTCATCAAATTGAAAGAAATGAACGCAATGTTCGCCAAATGGGTGTCCTCTCCTACATTCCCAGGTGAAATGAATTCAATTTTTTTTGAATTGTTCCCTTCTCCATAGAAATAAGATGCTCTTTTCGATATGATAATAGTACACGTATCTGCTACCTTTTCAGCCAGTTATGCAAAGTTTGGAGCATAGAAAGAGAGAGAAAAGTAGAATAGTATCTCTAATTGCATGGAAGGATCTTACACTATAGTTTTTCTCTATTAAAGATGTTCACTAAACTTGTTCTATTCTGATGCCTAACCTTTTGCAAACTACACTGGGTTAGTTCATTTTTGGGTCCTGAAATTGCATGATTTTTGGGTTAGTTACATGATTTTTCATATATATATATATATATATATTTGTAATGAATGAAAAATGAAATTGGAAAGTCAATATTTTTAGAGATCTAATGTGTGAACAAAAAATGAGGGATAGAAAGCTATGAGTTATATATATATATATATATATATATATATATATATATATATATATATATATATATATATATATATATATAAAGTAGATTGATTGATAATTGATACTACTGGAACTGTTGGATTTTGAGATTTACCTAACTGTACAAAACCGGTTTATAAAGTTAGATGCGCATAAGCTATTAAGCATTATCTTTGCAGAATGTGGGACCTGAGTTTTCGCAATAGTAAAGATTGATAATTATATCTATCTATTTGTAATATAAAATTATTTTAACAAATCTGACTAGAGAATTATACCTAACCTTCATGATTTCCTTACACCAAATTTCATATCATTTAATGTCGTAATAAAAAAAATAAATGATTCCTCGAGAGTCATTTTCTTCTTTAATGTTGATAGAAATTGACAGAATAGAAACCAAGCTTGGATTATGATAGAACTGGAATCAGAATTGTGCGAATAAAAGGGAAGATATTTTTTTTGTAAGTGTTGAATCCCTTTCCTGAACGAATGTATATCTATACATCTGAACACGAGGTAGTTTAAAGAACCTGGAACCTACCCAATAACTCTCAATTCACGAACCAACTTCCCTATACAGTATTCTTGTGTTAGTTGTTTCTTTTCTCTAACTAACTACTGACAGTTGCACACTCTTTCCCCCTGTAGTTCCTTATATATACTTGTTTAATAGAACATCACCGTATACTATCACAAGGGAACTTCATAGGGATAGTATATGTCACATATACTTCACAAAGTCTAAACGCTAGATTGTTTCCTTGGTACTCCAAGATTGTTTTCTACTCCTTCAACTTTAATTAAAATGAATGCATGTAATATCATTTTCAAGCAAATAAAAATATATCTACTTATTTGAGCACATATTGATAGTTGTTTTGTTTATACTGCATGAAAATCGGTGTAAGATCAACGTGCTAATTAGGTACATTTATCAGATTGGTTAAAATCATTTCAATGGATAATGATATTTATAGGAAGCAATTAGAAGTTACAGCTAGAATTGTTTCTTTCTAGTATGTTTGCATTTTAACTGTCAAGTATCTCTTTGTGACTGATGCTAAATAATTTGTTAATTGTTTTGCAGATTTGCAACCCTCGCAACTCGGATGGAGCAGTACATCCAGGGTCAGTCTAGGGATTTGGTTGACCAAGCATATACAAAATTTGTAAGTGATTCGTTGTGAACTCTATCCATTTTTACAATGTCTTTTGATTTTGCTGTCCAGTCAAGCGCCTGGTTTTAAGAAAATAATGAGATTAACATAAGAGAAAGGGGTTAGACTTCATAGATTTTAATTGTCTGGTTCTTGGATCAAATAGTACATATTTCAAAATAGGTCTTGCCCAATGATTGTCTCGTAAAGCCTGAAAAATAGGTATGGTCAAATAAAAAAATAGTGATATATATTGATTCGGGCCAATTTTAGCCTAGTTCATTACAATTGTATGTGTGTCTATGTATATGCATGTGTGTTATTATTTAAACCAATTAAGTATAAATTATTAATTATAATTGAGTATTTTAACAAACAAATGTAGTAATTTTTTCAATTTATTTAATAAAAATTATTAATTAATAAATAAAAACTTTTAAAATTTTTATATAATCCAGAGTGTATTTTAAAAATATTAGAAATAAAAAAATATTATAAGATATTTTTATTATAAAATTATATTTTATATTTTTTCAAAAAAAAAATTTGAGTTAATAAAATAATATCACATTTGATTTTTATAATTTTTTTCATATTTATCATATTCAATCAAAATAACATAATTAAAAGTTTCTCTCTCTCTCTCTATCTATCTATCTATATATATATATATATATATATATATATATATATTTATATATTGAAATTGTAAACATAAGCATTGATAATAATTAATTAGAGAAAGTATAAACTTCTTTTTTCTTACTCTTTTCTCTTATATGGCTGACTCATGACTCATTTGTGAGAATCTCCTCGTTGTTTGCCCCCTCGTAAATACCTAACAGGTTGTATCGGAGCCGATGGTTTATCCGTTGACCGACTCAGTTGAGTATGATTATAGATTGTGAAAGGTCCTTATGTCGAAAGTCTTCCTGACAAGGGTTTTAGGCAAGCGAGTCCCGTTAAGTTGAACGGCGGTACAAGTGAGGTCATCACTAGATACTCATGGCTAAAAAATGCTTCCACTCGAGGGGGAGGTATACCAATGTGAAGAGGAATCACACTTGAGGGGAAAATGTTGAGAATTCAAATGTGAGTTTAAAGTCCCACATTAGGTAGAAATGGGAAAGTTGAGTAACTTATATGTGAGAAAGACCCATAACCTATTGCCTTAAAGTTTTGGGTTGAGAGTGGTGTCATATTCTCTTATATGGTTGACTCATTACCCATTTGTGAGAATCTTCCTGTTGTTTGTCCCCTTGGAAATACCTAATATCAATGAGACAAAAAATGGTTAGGTAGCCTAACATAAGATTAGGCCAAACAAAAAATTATGGTTTATTTTTAAAATATATTTTAGGTTGGACTGGAAGTTTATTTTAATGACCATGTAGGCCGGGCTAGGTGGCGCCCAACTGTCCATGTTGACACATCTATAATAAATTAGAAATAAGTGCACCAATACGTTATAAATGAAATTTAGTGGAATCATACTAGAAACAATTCTTTATATTTTTTTTTTGGAAAATGTAGTGGAGCATCTTCATGCCATCTTGTCTAACGTAGATATTCTATGAGCTTTTGGTAACTTGCATTATTCATTTGCTTGTAAAGTACTGTTCATCTTTCTGTCAAATGTATAACTTATTTATTATTTTTTGCCTGCATATATATATATATATATATATATATATATATATATATATATATATTTAAACAACTAACAATTAAGCCTTTAATCATTTTTTTCAATTTGCTACATTAGTGTTACCATAATTTTTCAATGCTGTTTGACAGGTTAGCATAATGTTTGCAACTTTAGAAAAAATTGCACAAACAGATCCAAAATACGCAGATATTTTTCTTTTTGAGAACTATGCTGCCTTTCAGAATAGGTAATTCCTCTGCCAAAAGGCTGTTTGATTTTACAACGTTAATTTTGAAAAGATAGACATTTGTTATTTTTAACTATGTTGTTCATTTTACTCAGTTTGTATGACCTGGCCAACATTGTGCCCACTTTGGCCAAGTTTTATCATCAGGCCAGTGAATCTTATGAACAAGCTTGTACACGTCATATTAGCATGATAATCTACTATGTGAGTATAATCTAGTTTCTATTTCCATTTTTTGTGTAAACACACGTGAATTGATATCCTTGGGACCCCACTTATTACCACTTTTTTGCATTGTGAAGCAATTTGAACGCCTTTTCCAGTTTGCTCGACGGATTGAGGACTTGATGTTCACTGTTCCACCGGAAGAGGTTTGTGTGTATAATGTTGTATTTTTATCCTTCATAGGTTCCTGGGTACTTCCTGCTATACTGCATCTTGTCATGTGTAGAAATTCTATTTATCAAATCCACTGGTTACAATGTTTCTTATTTTTTCTGGTTTAAATAATGAGGTTTTAGTTATAGATGAAGGAAGAGAAACAAGAGAGTGAATCACTGAATTGACAAGGAAATATGATAATCAACAGTAAGAGATAATGAGAAAATAAGAAAACTAACCTGAAGAATAATTTATAATAGTCTGAAGTGTATGATACTATAAAATATTTTCATATATTCTAACAGATTATTACTATCCTTTCCTAGCATCATGGATTACTCTATCAAAATATAACTATTATTCTTCTGGCACTTATTTTGAATAATAAAATTCCATATTGAATTCTTGTTAGGTATCGGACAATAGACAAAAGAATAATTCTACTAATGAAAGAAATTACAACCCTTCTCTCTCTGCCTCCAAAGAGAAAACAATAACACCCTCTCTTGAAAATAAAAGAAAAACAACTTTAAGAGAACCTAAAAGGAGAAACTATTTTTCTCTCTTAATTTATCTCTCAATTACTAAAGCAGCAAGAAAAAGAAAAGGAAGTGATTTTGGTGCATCTTACAAGGTAAATATTGTGCTCCTTTTATAGTAAGAAAAGGAAGCACTAAATTAAGATTTCCCTGGTGTGGGACTTTTCTTCTCACAATTCCTTCATCAGAATGGGGAAATTGTTTGATAAATATAACCTAATGTGGTTGCTTCTCTTAACCAGCAAAACTAAATCAAATCACCCTAACAGAAATACTAAATCACCCTAAGCAGCAAAACCAAGTGGTTGTGCCATGAATGGAAATGAGGAAATGTGTTTACAGCTAGCAAGGATCACATGACGACCAATCCTCAACACCCAACAATCAGCTTGAGATCCAAAATAATTAATTCGGTTGAAGGACTATCTGCATAGAGGAAAATAGTAGAGTATATAGCTCTCAGTTATAGAGAGAGTAGGTATGGATGCAATTGTATGGGTTGAACTTCATTCTTTCGTCTTCTTCAAAACTCTGTCAATTGCCATACTACCAATACTTCCATTGTAAGAAATACATCCCAGAAATAATACATCCCATAGTTCTCTTTTTTCTAAATCCCTCAAATCTTCTGTTTTCGGGCCATAACCATTACATTTTTCATCATGGCTTAAAACACACGTATCAAAGAACTCTCCTTTGACGTGAGGTGTTTTCTGGGAATGATAGAGATATATAGACCACATAAAAGAAGGATTCTACTCACTTTAAGACATTAGAATCTGCTTTAAATCGGCTGTTGCTTTGTCCTCCCGGGCATGCAGAATCGAAATCAAAATCCACTCAATCTTCAAAGTTAGGAATGTCAAACTTGACTTTCCTTGTAGGTTCATATGTTGATAGAGTCTAGCATAGTAATGGAAACATTTCTAGATTTAAAAGCAATTAATTTTATGGTTTGGGTTTTCTTTAGGATTCAGTGATGCATATTCCATCTTTTGTCATTGAACATGAGTTCAATTTCTTAGACAAATGTGATGATTTGTGATGAAACAAGTGTATAAAGAAAAGAACAAAGAGTCATTCTATCACAGACCACTACACACTGAGTTTAATTTCTTAAATACGTGTGAAAGTTTGTGATGAAACATTTTGAACAAGAAGAACAACGTTAGAAAATTAAGGATACAAGAAAATTAAGAAAAACAAGAAAGAGAAGAGGCGTGACTAAAGGAAGAAGATACAAGAACAATCAAGAAAGAAAATTAAAAACAAGAAAAAGAAGAAACAATTCTTCATTTAATTAACTAGATTAGCTCTTGACTGCATCCAGCATCATGCTTGGTTCTTCATTTATCTCCTTTTCTTTTTCAAATTGTTTTTGTCATTGCTCTTTAATAAACATTTCTTCTCTAAGAAACAAAACAAAAAAGTTTCACGTGAGTAGGAATTTCAAAACAAATGATAGAATCATAATTTGAAATAGAAGAGATCAAAGTCTTACAATCTCTTTTTAAGAATTCTTTTTCAATCATTTCACTACATGACTTTGAAAGTAACCCTTCCTCTTGTCTTGGTTTTTTTGATATTATTTTCTTTCTCTTTTTCCTTTTCCTCTCTTTTTATCTCTTTTCTCTCATTTATTTAAACTCTTTCTATATTTTTTTAACTTTTCTCTAATTTTTTTTTCTCTTTTTATATACTCTCTTTCTATCTTCTATTTTTTTTAATTCTTAAAAGTAAATAAAAGAGAAAATATATGTTTTAGAGGGCTTTTAATCATACCTTTAATGTGATATCTTATTTATAATGATAAAGTACAAATGCAATGAGTAGATGGAAGGCCAAGACACTAAAGTCTGAGCTAGAAGCCTAGGTTCTGAGATCGGTACAACCCTTAGGTTAAATAGAAGACAACTTTTAGATACAACTATACTTGACTTAATAATTCCAATATTCCTTCTCAAGCTAGAGCATACAAATTGAATGTACCAAACCTGAAATCAAATGAACTCAATCTGAGAACCCCTTAATGATTTTGTTAGCAAATTTGCAAGTTAATCATTGGATCCAACAAACTTGGTACAAATTTCTTCAGGGACTAACTCTTCTCTAACGAAATGATAGTCAATCTCAATGTGTTTAGTTCTCTCATGGAATACTAGATTAGAAGCACTTTGGTTATCAAAATGTATTTTCATGGTTTGGATCTCAAAAATGTTAAGATCTTGAAAGAATTGTTTCACCCATACAAGTTCACAAGTAACAGATGTCATTATTGTATATTTAGTTTTGGCAGTTGATTGAGCCACTACATTTAGTTTTATTTTTCCAAGAAATAATATTTCTTATAAGGGGTTGTTAGTAGGGGTTCCAACCTAAATGATATCACAATACCCCCATATTTGAGTGTTGCCTCTGTCTTCATATAACAAACTTTATCTTGGATCCTTTTCGAGATACTGCAAGATACGGTTGATGACATTCAAATGGTTAATCCAAGGAACTTGCATGAATTGACTAACAACACCAACTACGGAAGAACAATTAGGTCTAGAAATAGTAAAATAAATAAGTTCTCGAACCATTCTTCTATATCTTTCTGGATTAAAGAATGTTTCACCTTGTGATGAAAATGATCTTCTCCTTCCATCTTGAACCTCTGAAAAAAAAAAAAAACTCAATATTTCCCAAGCTCTACTAAGAGAGATCTCGACTCTAGTTCTCCAATTAAGGAAGGTTCCTTAGTAGGAGAGGTAGGAGAAAATCCTCCCAAAATTGAACTCAAAGACAAGCAAATAAGCAAGTCAACTTGTCAATGTTCATTCAACTCAAGTTGGGAAAAATACATGCATGAAGTCTCTATTTTGTAAATGCTCCTCCTCTTGTCATTCATTATCCTAATGGATGTGGGACTAATTCTAGCTTCTACACAAATTTTCACATACCCTCCTTCAAGTCCCACATAACACTCTTTTAGTTACATTTTAAAGTTTATAAACAACAATTCTCCCAAATATTGCAACCAAGAATTAGACATTGAGGAATAGCTTTGGATGTCTCCATAGCATGCATATGATTCCACGTTGACTTGCTTTGAATATGACCTATTTAACAAAGAAAATAAAATTTGTGTACATTTTTACTAGACTTCAGAAAAATAAAGAGGGGTATTTAGTATGAGATGCTCCAAAGAAGGAGGGCTTTTGTAGGAGCTTCCTTCTCTTCTATTCTACTAGCCATGGCCCTAGTGAGGGGCCTAACATGTGCCTTCTTGGATGGTCCTCCATCACCGTGTTCCTTCATTAGTTTTTGATTTGGGTCCGTAATCATATATGTCTGTCGTATAATATCTAGTACATACTTCCTTTTAGATATTACAACATCTTCTTTTGACTGAGCTACTTCAATACCTAGAGGAAGTATTTGAGACTCCCAAGATCTTTGGTTTGGAAATGTTTGTAGAAGTGTTCTTTTAGTTGAGATATTCTAGTAGCATCATTTCTTGTAATAACTATATCATCAATATATACTATTAAGTAAACACATTGAATGGTCAGCTTCACTTTGTTTCAGTCCAAAAGTTTGCACAATGTGGCTAAATTTTCCAAACTAAGCTCGTGGAGATTATTTAAGATCATAGAAAGAGTGATGTAACTTACAAACCAAATCAAACTTCTCTTATAACAAATCCAAAAGGTTGTTCCATGTAGATCTCTTCTTCGAGATCGTCATGAAGAAATGCATTTTGGATATCTAATTGATGTAGTAGCCAATGAGGAATAACTGCAATGACAGAGAATAAATGAATAGTAGCCATTTTGGCTATAGGGAGATAATATCACTATAATCAAGACCATAAATTTGAATATATCCTTTAGTAACTTATTGTGCCTTGAGACGATCGACTTCACCATTTGAGCTAATTTTAACGATATAAATCCTTCGACAACCCACTTTTTTCTTTCATGTGGAACTGCCACAAAGTTCCATGTGTGATTTTGGTCAAGAGTCTACATTTCGACCATCATAGCTTGTCTCCGGATGATCAAGTGCTTCATTTACATTTTTGTGAACAGTTATGGAAGACACCAATGTTTGAAAATAACAATAGAAAGGAGACAACTTTTGATAATGAAGAAAATTATAAATAGGATGTAGATTATAGATTGAATGAGTACCTTTTTTGAGGGAAATGGACTAAACTGAATCATCAGAATGGGGAGCCGTTGTATTAAAAGATGATGGAGAAGGATTGGAAGAAGAGGTCTCACCTTGGAGTGTGGACGAGTCATTTGGTTCTGGTTATGGTAGGTGAGGTGAGGAGAGGAGGTGTTGATGGATAAGGAAGATGTGTGACAGGACCAGGATCGTTCGAGGCACAACTTAAAGAGATGAAGAGAAGAAAGGAGTTTCTTCAAAGGTGACATTGACAGAGATGTAGTATGTCTTTGTTTTAGGATAGTAACACCGATATCCTTTTTGAAGTTGAGAGTAGCCTAAGAAGACATATTTGATAGCACAGACAAAATTTATCTTATCCAGGGAATAAATCATGAACAAAACATATACAACTTAACACACAAGGAGAAATATGAAATAAAGGATCTTTGGAATAAAAAGAATGGAATGGGAAATTAGATTATTGAGGAAGATGACATTTTATTTAAAGCAAGGAGTTAGGACAACATCACCCTAGTGATAACCGATAAATTGGAACTAAGCATTAGGGTATAGGTAGTCTCAACCAAGTGTCTATTTTTCCTTTTGACATTACAAGTCTGTTGAGGATGTAAGGATAGGTGGACTGATGTAAAATATCATGCGAATTTAAAATTGATGAGAAATGAAAGGAGAAATACTTGTTGGCATTGTCACCTCTTAAGGTTTTAATTACTTGATTAAATTGATTTTTTATTTTATTGAAAAAAGATGTGAAGATAGGTAACAATTTTGAACTATCTTTCATGAGATAAATCAATGCACATCTTGAATATTCATCAATTAATGTAACAAAGTATCCGAAGCTAAAAGACAAGACACAATTGGGTCCCTAAATATTAGAATGGATCATAGAAAGAGCAAAATTATATCTTGATTCAGATTTTTTTAGAAAAGATGATCTAACACGTTTGTTTAATTGACATGACTCACATTCTAATGTTCGTAGACTATTAAGTTCAGGAACCAATTTTTAATTTTGACAAGTTGGGATGTCACAAACGATCATTTGGGGTTTGAAGATGCAAAACAAGACACAAGTGGACTAGCTCCAAAATAGTATAAATCTCTAGATTCATGTTCTTCTCCAATTAGTCGCCCTGTATCACGTTCTTGTATAACAAATGATTTGACACAAAGGTTATTGAACAATTTAAAGACTTGGTTAATTGACCTAATAAAATAAGATTTAAAGGATAAAAAGGTACAAACATAGCAAATTTTAAATTTAAGGAAGGTGGAAAGGAAATCTTGACCCATTCCCATGGAAGGAGCTTTAGAACCATTGGCTAAGGTTATGAAATGAGGATTCTTGGAAAAGAAAAGGGATGGGAACAAGGATGCATTACCAGAAATGTGATCAGAAGCACATGAATCAATTATCAATAGATTTTGACTTTCTACAAATTGTGAGATTCATATTGTTGACAAGTAGAAACTTGCTAATGGTTGTGCTAAGCTATTTGATTTCAACTTTAGATGTTCTTGATATTCTTCAGAGAATTTGGGTTCAACAGGTTTAGCTTTAGTGATATTGACTATCTTGTTAGGAAAACCATGCAATGAGAAACAATTCTCTTGAACTTCCTCCTCTTCCTTGTTTAGAGATCATGACAGAATATTCCAGAGTCTAGTCTTCAAGTTATCCATGGAGGGAACCTCTTGTTATGTTAAAAATTGAACTCTGACATGTTCAAAGTAAGGATGTATGGCACGAAGGATCGTCACCATATACACTTTCTCTAGTTTTTTTGTCTCTTCTAATGAATCGTCCTCGAGTTCTTCAACAATAGATTGAACTTCACTCTTAGTAGAGTCATAAAAGCGTTGAATATCGTTTGCAAAAATATTGAGCCTTTTTTCAAAACAAGTTGCATGTTTTAAATGCTCTAAGAGTACGTAATAATTTTCATTCTACCGACTATCATAGTAAGGCACAAAGCTGAAAATCAATTTGCTTCTATTTTTCAGCTTTATTAGATGTTACTAAACTCCACATCTTTTTTAAGGTGATCATGGAAACCTTAGCCGAGAAACCAAAGTTCAACTGAGGTAGACCAAGAGAGATAATTTCTCGCATTCAGTTTTTTAGATGTAATGGAAGGAGTCCTGGTGAAAGATATAATGGAGGACATTTTGTTGGACACGATAGAGGTTGAAGGGAACTACAAATGGAAGAAGCAGCTGGTGCAGGTTCCAACAAAGGTAAAACTCAAAGGAAACTTTCAACCTTGCTAGAAAAGGGGACCCAATGGTCGGAAGAGGACTAGTGTGGCTAGTCTGGTGACACTCAATGAGGGCACATAGGGTGGCTTTGATGAAGGGAGGACAGCGCGTGGTTGGGATTCTTCGTTCAGGACCAACAGGGTTGGTTGTCACTCAAAAGAGACAATCCAGATCCGGTGGTTACCGAAGAAATTTGGTACCGTAGCCGGTGTATGGGCGGTGATGAATGGAGATGACAATGACAGATTTTTCACCGAAGGAGAGTGTAAACAAGTAGAGCAGCGTTAACTTGCTCTGATCCCATCCTAAAAGTAAATAAAAGGGAAAAGATGCTTTAGAGGAATTTTAATCACAACTCTAATATGATCTCTTATTTATAATGATAAAGTACATATGCAATAAGTAGATGGAAGGTCAAGGGACTAAAGGCTTAGTTAAAAACCTATATACAACGATAGGTACAATTCTTAGGTTAAATACAAAACAACTTTTAGATATAACTATACTTAGCCTAATAATTCCATCGGTAATGTTTTCTTCTCTCTTATGTCCTTGAGGTTTTCATCACTTATTGGTTTCCCACTAAGACATTTATGAGAAGTATGTCCATAACCTTCTTATTTGGAGTATCTAATGGAACTAGTTTTAATCGTTGAACATAATATCTCTTTATGCATGTGCTCTTTGCTATGATCATAACTTTCACTTTCCAACTTTTGTATTGTTCAAATGAGTTTTAGAATAAAATCTTCTATAATCAAATACAGCCTACAAGTAAAGGTTAGAAAAACAGTAAACACAAAATAAGATTAGCATAACAAAACAACATTGGTTAACAGAAGTACTAAAGAAAATAATTTGGATCTCAACACTCAGTAAGTTTTTACACTCAATTCACTCAAACTTCTTAAAGTAAGTTCATCTTTCCATAAAATCTCCAATCCAAAATTAATCCTATTCAAGTGAAATATGAAATGATTAGCGCAAACACTTGGAGAGAGCCAAAGGAGTGAAAGCTACTGAGACAAAACTATAGTAATTAAGAAATGATAAACTAAAAATGGTAAAAGCAAGAACAACTAAATAAAAGAGTAACAAAGTCTAAGAAATGACAAAACTAAGAATCATAAGACAGGGAGAAAAACACAAAATAAAATTACTTAAGTAATTCAAAACAATGAGTTAAGAATTACCAAAGAAAGATTACTCACTGAAGCAATGGAAAAATTTCTAATCTAAACTACCAAACAAAATATGATCAAGACCACCACAAATGTGAAATAATTTACCAAGCCAATGATCATCAATTACTATTGTGTCTAAGCTTTGATTCTTTATTTTTTTTTTTGCATATTTTTCTTTATTTTTCTTTACTGTTTCAGGCCATATAGCTCTTGGCCAGAAACTATTATTTTTTTTAAAGTGCTTTTTAACATCAAAACCTCAACACAACACTTAAGGATGATCTGACAAAGATTGAACTCTTAAATTCTATTTTTAGTATTCCAATCAATTCAATCCTAAAGTAGTCTCAGAGAAATTCATCACATCCAAAATGAAGCAATCTAGAAATGATGCAAAGAAAATTAACAAAACATATGACTCTAAATATAAAAGTTGAAATAAAATAGTGGTGATCAATGAAAGTTATTATCTCATATATCTAACGAATCAATTATTATGCATTGAAACATTAACAAACATTGATAAAATGAACCAAGAATTGATGAACAAACATGGAAACACATTAGAAACCGAAACAAAACAGTATAAAAACCAACAAGTAGAGATCACATATGTTTTTGTGAAATTTGAGACAAACTCTTTTGTGATGAAAATTAAAGACAATTTGTTTTAAGGGAAAAAACATGTAAACCAATGTCAATGAATGCAAAAACAAAATTATACTCATGGTAGGCCCCATAGACAGAGTTATACTCATCACATTTTCATGTTCTATGATCATATAAACCATTTTTGCAACCAATTGTCTCGTACCAAATTATGTGTACTTATTCAAGGGTTTAGAATTGAGTATTTATCAAACATGACTCAAACTAGAAATTCAAGAAACACATGTTTCTAATTAGGAGAAGATTATCTATCAATAAAGTTCAAGTTTCATTCAAGAATTGAATGATTTAAGAATGGATAAAAACCAATTTTTTATCTAAAACAATTTTGAACAAAATGAACTGTAAAATTAAAGACAACACTCAAGGATTATTATAAAACAAGTGAGAATACAATTTAGATAAAAAATATCATGATTCATAGAAGTTCAATGTTCAAAATTGGTATAAAACCTACTTCAACAAATGATGTTCAAATCAAATTCTACCCCTTGATTTATAACAATGACAATCATTATTTGGTTTGGTCACATTAAAGAATGAAAGAAAATATGAAAAAGGTAGAAAATGAAGAGCACACCACTTTCATGATTGAAAGATAAATTCATAAGCTAATCATCGCTTGAAATTAGAAAAATCAAGATAAGATTTCATAAGAGGAACTAACTTCTTGAAGAACATGAAAGGTGAGAGAAAAACTCAGGTTCATTCAAAGTTGTTATAGATGAGAGAAGAAAAACTAATATACTTCTGATTATGGGCCCTCGGGCTGTGGAATGTGGTGGAATGTGAAGAGGTGAGCAGTTGTTTGGTTGGTTCTCAATCCATCCAATCAAGGCTTTTGTTTTTGGTCACTAACTTTGCATTCAAACCTACCTCCTAAATCTACTAAAGTGTCTTAAATTCTATTTTAAGAAGACTTTTCTACATTTTTATTTACAAGAAGAGTTCGAGAAAGATCTAGAGATGTTATCTTCCAGTCATTTCCCTTGTTATGTTTCCCTCCATAGCTTTCTGGTTATTTTAAGATCTCCATTTTCTTGAGATTTGTTCTCCTTTATATTCATTACCTCATTAGATGGGTAATCAGAGTCTTTCAACGAATGCTTAGAATTGTATTTGAGGTGTTTTAGCTTTGATAGTCGCGAAAGTGGTGTATGACCGGGATTCCCCTTGTGTTGTTAAGTTCATACCTAATCCTCAAGGTGTGGTTCCAGTTCAAGAACAACTACTTTAGAAGGACTTAATTTTGTCCAAACAAAGCATAATCTTAACAAGGTTCAGCAATAGGGTGGTTTTGAACTAAAATGTCACCTAATACAAATATAAAATTATATGTGGTTCGGTTTTTATTTTTTAAAATATCCGAATCAAACTAGTATTTTAAGGTTTAGTTTAGTGCGGTTTTTTTGAATCAATTTTTTATTTTATTTATAAATTGGTTCAGTTTTGAACATACAAATAATGAAGAAATATGCATATCATAAATTGGTCCGTATTGACTTTAAGGTGGGTGATAATGTGCTGAAGTTACAACCTTATACACATCATTTTGTTGCTCTAAGAAAGAATCGGAACTTGAGTTTGAGGTATGTTGGACCTTTTCAAACGTGGAAAAGATTGGTCAGGTTTCTTATAAACCGATACTTCCTGAGTCCACCAAAGTTCATCCGGTATTCCATTCAGCACAGTTGAAACTCTGTTGTGGTGAACACTCCCTGGCCTATGTTCCTCTACTAATTATTTCCATTGATTTACACCAGTTATTCAACCAGCAGCAATGCTCCTGTGCTCTAGTCTCAAGTTCACTTAGGGTTTAGGGTAGTGGGAAGAAATGGATGTGTCTTAAACAACTTGGGGAGACCATATTGCCTTAGAATCAGCAATTCGTGACTTCACTCTTGAGGGTAATGTTGGTCTAATGGAGGAGGAAAATGGGTTATAGCTAGCAAGGACCACGTGACAACGAATCCTCAAGGTGCAACAATAAGGCGAGGAGCTAAGTCACATTGTAGATTTGAACGAACTTGGACAGGTCCATTAGAAGGTCAAGTCAGTTGATCAAGTAGGACACATGATAGGATATTATTCTATTTCAGGATTAAGTTACTAAATAATAGTAAATTTATTCTTCTCTGCCTTCTATTTATTTATCACAGGAATTTATAACCAAGTACAACAGTCAATCATAGGCAATCTACACTTTCAGGTAACAGAAAAAGGAATTTAGCAAAATATCAAAATGTAAAATAAGAATTACTGGCAGTTATAAACAATTCCCCCTCGTGTTTTAGAATCCCCTATGAGGTGAACTTTCCCAAGAGATTCAATCGATAAAACAAAGTCCTATTGGTTGCTGGGCCTTTTCATAATCATTTTGGGCTGATTATATTATTACTGAGTAGGGTCACTAATGTGGATTTGGCGAGTTACCTCAAATGATACAATCGGAACTGGGCATGGTCCCCACAAGGAAACATAGATGGACCAAGTCACCAAAATAGGAATAGGTAAAAATTGTCTCTCGGTTCAACTAATGAGGTATGTTAAGGTTCCAACATAAAACCAATTGGCTATATGTGGAGTAGCCTAACATGTATTTAAACCATACCAAATGATATGAGATAGGCGATGTGGGACTTTCAACACACCCCCTCCAACGAAGCCTGCTGGACCAGGCAAAGAGTACTTTTGACCCAACTAAAGGACAACTTTTGGCCCATGACAATAACCGGAAAGATGTTAGGCTTTGACTCTGATACCATGTTAAGGTTCCAACATAAAACTAATTGGCTATATGTGGAGTAGCCTAACATGTATTTAAACCATACCAAATGATATGAGGTAGGCGATGTGGGACTTTCAACAAGGTATATTACGGTGGCTCTTAAAATAAGGTTAACATTGGCAGATGAATTAACTGGTTGAAGCTATTTCATTGATAATAGAGGCAATTGTCGATGTGAAAGAGGACTGAGCACCGGCATCTAAGGATGACTACTAACTATTTATGAGTTGAAGAATTTGTTTCTTGATGCATCTCTTAAATTGTCTATTCTTGTCCATGTTTTCCTGGATACATGAAACTGTAAATTAATTAGTTACACAGATTTCACATTAAATTTGACTTTCAACATTCACAGAATTCTATTCTTTTGCATAAATTTCAGATTCCTTTTCAGCTTGGGCTATCAAAAATGGATCTTCGAAAGATGTTAAAATCCAGTTTATCTGGTGTACGGTGATTCTAATTTTCTTTGAAGATCCTTTTCACTGTTTATGTCTGCGTTTGAACTTATGACTTTGCTCCTCTACTAGGTTGACAAGTCCATTGCTTCTATGTACAAGAAACTGCAAAAGAATTTGACCTCAGAGGAACTGTTACCCTCCTTATGGGACAAATGCAAGGTTAGATGTGCTTAATCAAGGCTATTCCGCCAAATATTTCCAAGGCCAACAGCCAGTGAAGTGTCTAACAAGTGTTTTGCCAGTTTGGTGATAGCAAGGGCAAATTTGCAAATTTTTAAGATACATATGAACGGAAATTAAATTGGATTTAATTTTGATATTGTGTGAACATTTTTTTCAACTGTCACTCAATCAAATATTTTTCCAATGCTTGTTTTGTGATTGGAAAACTAAGCAGAAAATGAATGCAAATTAATCATTTCTTTTTTAATTTTTGCAGAAGGAGTTTCTTGATAAGTACGAAAGTTTTGCCCAACTTGTGGCTAAGATTTACCCTACGGAGACTATCCCATCTGTTGCAGAGATGAGAGACCTTTTAGCTTCCATGTAGAGATTTCTGTATATATATATATATATATATATATATATATATATATATATATATATATATATATATATATATATATATATATTTATTTTTTTTTTTTTTTTTTCTTTTCATTTTATGTAAGCTATAATCTTCTTCTCTCTATTTAATTTTATTTATTCAATAATGTGTATATTTGTAGTTTTAACTATTTGAAAACAAGCATTTTAACGTGTCTTCGAGCGAATAAGATTGAATAGTATCTTGCTTATGTTTAAGCATTTTCAGGATTCACGAGTGGACTGCATATTTTAGGCTTTTAGCTTATTTTGAAAAAGTAGAATGGTGTATTTTAAAGTTTATAAAAGTCATAAAACGAAAATAAATTAAAAAGAAGTTTTTAAAAAGTAATTTCAATATCTTAATTTTTTTATGCGAGTTTTTACGTTATTATTAAAATGTAATTATATTATGATAAAATTATAATTTAGTTCGTATATATACATATATATGATTAAATGATATTTCACTGATAATATAAATCCAAAAATATAGAAGGTAATCTAAACAAATAGGTTTTTTAAAACATTTAAAATCTCTAAATGTAAAAAAAAAAAAAAGATATATATACATTTGTTTTAGTTGTTTCATATGAAATGAATGTGTTCGTTTTGTGATAATACTAGTAAAATTAGTTTATATAAAAATGTCATCTTATATTAAATAGTCAAGAATATAAAATTAAAAATTATTTTATAAGAGATCAGGACAAAAAGAGTACTGAATATTTATATTTTATAACACGAAGGATCAACTAATTGATATATTTACTAAATTCTTGGTAGAAAGAAAAACTTAACTATTTGATCAAAGTACTTAAATTGATTTTTGTAAATTGACATTTAATGACTTAGATGCATGTGTATCATATTAGACAAGTAGTTTGATGTTGATCACACAACATCTACACTTGATGGTCTAATGAAACGTAATATAACGACCATCTACATTCATTACACATACATCCTAGTACTCCACTTTCCTGAGATCGCATGGGTATTGAACCAATCCTTAAAATTGGTAGCAATCATAACCTACATTAAACTTGGTACTGATATTATATTATTGTTGTTTTGCACTCAAATACCTTCACATCATCTAATCTTATCCCCCTTGACCAACTGCTTTAACTTAAACATTACAAGCTAAATCTACAGTATCAGACGAAGTTTCCAACTATTAGCTGTTCTAGATATTAGTAAACTAGTAAATTCATTTTATCCAAATTTGTATTTATATATTTTATGTAGATTTACTTTATTTTTTCATATAATAATTTATTCTTAACATAGTTTTAGAAAATAGATTATATAGACATTTAGTTAAATCTGAATGTTTATATATTAATGAATGAATGATAAATTAAGAAGATTTAAACTTTGATTTAAAGTTTCTTTGCTTTATCATAAAGAAAATCCTTCAACGAATTTAGGAAAAAGAGTTATTTAATAAAAAGAGTAATTCGCTCAACAAAGACAAAAATTGTTGAGCAAAATTATCCTATAAAAGATCAAATAACTTATCTAATTAATTTGCTCAGGAAATAATGTACACTCGACAAGAAGTTGTAGACCATCAATTCTACATAATTGACAAAATAAATTCTGACTTTTGGGTAGTATTGTTTATGGACCTTGGATAAGTTTTATAGATTTTTGACTTTTTTTATTGTATAAATAAGACTTAGTATAATTTATTCATAAGTTATCTTTCAAACTCTTTTTTTATTTTTTTTATTTTACAACTTGGATATAAGAGTTATTTTCTAATTTTCTCTCTAGTTTTAGTTTAGATTTTAAAGTTTATTTTATAAAAAAACAATTTTAAATTCAATGTTATTTCATTAAAGCCCTTCTAGATATTATTAGTATTTAATATTTTATCATATTTGTACTATATATATAGTACATAAATAAAATATATACTTATTTCACATATATTTCATATATTAGAATTACATATACATAAAATCCTAAATTTTTTTATCAAGATTAAATTTGTATTCTTCTTCTCTACTCTTTTTAGTTCAATTCATGCAATTTAAAATTTTTACTATATTTTTTATTGATTTGTTATGATTTTCTAGATTCGTAAAGTTAGCTTTATAGTTTAAATTTCTATCATTGATTGAGATTTAGTTCTTTTATAATTTTAAACATTCATAATTCAATATAATTAATTGTGATTGAAATTATTTGGTTAAATTTGATCAAATTTATATCATGAATTAAGTTTAGAAACCAATGAGGCAGAAGGAAATTTAGGAAAGTTACCACTATTTTTATATAGATTTTATATTCTTACTATTTTGATTAGATAATAAACATATAACTATAAAACCCCTTATTCTTAACTCCTTGACAATTTAAAATTGAATCTAGAATAAGTTATCAATCTTCTTCATGAATACAATCTAAGTTTTCCTATAGTCATGTTTTCGTCGTATGAATTGTTTGATCCGTTTAGGAAAAAAAAAACTTTGACAAAATGGTGTAGTTGTTGGGGAATATAGGTTTTAGTTTTAGTTAAGAAGAGTTAGGTTAATTTTTTTTCTTCTTTTTTATTTTTTATTTTTCATTTTCTATTTCTTACATATAAAAACTATAAAAATTTTCTTCAATGGACAAATTTGTTCATTAAGAACCTATTTACTTAGTACTTTTATGTTTATGTGACTTTCTTTTTGTTTTAATTCGTTATTGGCCTTATTTACCTAGTGCTTTCTATTTTGCTCAATCGATTTTTGTTTTTTTCACTTGAGTGGATTTAGTCTCAATTAATGAAATTGGTCCAATAGTGAATTTTTCTATATTTTTCTGTCAAATTTTTCTATTTTTACTTTTTAAGTTCTATGGTTGAATGCTTAGATCTCCCAATGATAAAACATTGCAATTTGATCAACAATTGAAAGGAATTTTCATAACTTAAAAAATAAAATAAAAAGTTAAAACTTTTCTCTTCATCTATTGAAAACACTTGCAAACAAGAAAATATGAGTGTGAGAGAACACTTAAGGAGTTGGCTACACCAAATGTAATGCATCATAATATGTGTATCCAATATGATGATGATGATGATATACCTTTTGTTACCGCTTCCAAAACATGTGGCATGACCAAACCTAACCTAATCGAAATTTTTATTGATTAAAATATACGAGGGTAACTTTTTCTAATTTTCTTTTCCAATTCTTATGTAGCATATCCAATGTTTTAATTCCTCACTAGTGAAATTTGTCTTTCCTTCAACTGCTTGATCTTTATATCTATAATTTGTATTGACATTGCTTCAAATGTAAGATTATCCTTTAATTGTACTGTATCCGACATTAATATATGTGAAGGATCATAAATTTATTTTCTTAATTGAGACACATGAAATACATTATGAAGATTTGAAAGAAAAGGAGGTAAGGAAATTCGGTAAGTAATAATACCTATTTTTTATTTTCTGAGAATTTGATATGATCCAATAAATCAGGGAGTTAGTTTCTTTAATTTCATCACTCTACCAATTCCCGTTGTTAATGTGAGTTTCAAGAATACATGATTACCTTCTTGGAATTTAAGTGATCATCTTTTCTTATCAACATAACTTTTCTGTTTACTATAAGTTGCTTTTAATTTTTCTCAAATAATTTTGATTTTTTTCGTGGTTTATTTAATCAAGTTGCACCTAGGATTAAATTTTCTCCAATTTCAAATCAAGATAAAGGTGTTCTACATTTTCTCCCATATAATGCCTCATAGGTATCATGCTTATGCTAGAATGGAAACTGTTGTTGTAAGTAAATTCAATCAATGATAAATATCGATCCCAACTACCAAAATCCTCTAGCACAAGCTCTCAATAAATCTTCCAAGGACTAGATGATTCTTTTTGTCTATTTACCAGTTTGGGGAAGATAAGTTGAATAAAGATGAAGTTTAGTCCCTAAGGTTTAATGTAAACTCCTTCAGAATTTACAAGTAATCCCAGGATCCTTATCAAATGCTATATTTCCCTCACAATTTTTCTTATGTACAATTCAATCAATTTTTTCAATAAATACCTAATGTTAATAGGTAAGAAATGAGTAGAGTTAATTAACTTATCCACGATAACCCATATTTTGAATTGTTCATGGTAAACCAACTACAAAATCCATCGCTATATTATCCCATTTCCATTCAGGTATATCTAAGGATTGGAGCGTTTTTCTAGATTTTGGTGTTCTATCTTAGCTTTCTAACAAACTAAGCATCATGCTAATATTGTGCTACTTCTTTCGTCATCTTCGGCCACCATAACATTTTTTTAAGATCTTGATAATTTTAATTATGCCTGGATATATGCTCAATTTGCTCTTATGTGCTTCTTCTAAAATCAACTTTTTAATAAATGCATTATTAGGCACACGTATCTTATCATTAAATTTCAAAATTTCTGCCCTATCTATGTCAAACTTTTCTCCATTCTTCTGTCCTATCAAATTTTTTTTTTAATGGATTCATCATTTACCTATGAAAATGATGAAGATCTTATTGAAATACTTTAGCAAAGATCTTGTTGATTTGATGAAGTCAAAATTGAAGTCAAAGGCTACTTTGTGGCAGTCAAAGGTCACTTAGATAAAAGAGTAGTGGGATTAGTGAGTCTGCATCTCTACTTAGGTATAATCATTTTTATCTCTCTGCTGCATGAGGTTTCTTCATTTAAAAGATTTTGCAAATGCCTCTAAAAAGCGTTTAAACGGTTAAAAACAATGTATTTTGTTAAAAGGTTTTTAATTAACTATTTTAACCAATAGTATACAAGTTTTATCAACTAAAATGTTCTTAACACTTTTGTAACATGTTTTTAACTGATATGTTTTCGACATAATTGATTGATTTCATTAAAGGAAGTTTTGAAAACCTTCTGTCAGTATTTTAACTGATATAATTTCGAAATAAAAGATTAAAATCACTTAAAATGTTCAGGGA